ATTCGTTCTTATTGCGAAATAGGAGCACTATTTATCAATCTGTAATAAAAGACGTGAGGAAATTCTGTCTTTTTTAAAGAGAAACATTTTTGAGGCGAAATACCCACAAAGAAGCTTGTAAAAAAATGAATCCGCTTCAACAATATAGAACTTATCTAAAGTCAATCATAAACAATCATCCGGAAAAAGATTAAACCCTGAAGAACTTGATTTTAGGTGGTAAGAGTGACAACTGTTTTATTTGAATTTGATCTCTTGAACAGAAAACTGGGAAAATCCGTAATTTTCTGGGGTTTTCTGCAAATACATCGGAAATGAATTTGATGTTTATTAGTTTCATTTACGAATTCTGAATTGGAAATAAAAATTATGTATGAGTAGGTACTGAAGAGTTTAAAAAAATTAAATAATTGTTCTTTTATCCCCAAAAGTCACGTTTTGTTCAGAGTTTAATCGATTTTTCCCACAAAATCATACTCCGAAGACGCTGTTTTGCTTAGATTTGGGTTCAGCAGATCCATAAACATAAAATACAAATACATAACCAACACTGTTTGCGCAAAAAATTATTTTCACTTGCTTTAAAGCTTGGAGGACTGTATAGCAAAAAGTGGAAAATACTCGATTTCCTCCAACACTTGCCGGCTGGGGAAATTATTTTTACGTAGGTGTATTTTCCCCTTATTCCATAGTACCTCAAGTATACTCGCGGCCAATTTCATCCAAATCGGTTGGCCCAATGTTGAGATATTGTGTTTACGAACAAGAAAAAAACGTTCACACTGTGCGGCCTAAAACCGCGAGAAGCTTAGTAAAGTAAAATCTCTAAATTCATCTCTCACTTTATACAGATTTTGTATACAGGGTTATTCACGCTATACGGCACGGACGTTTGCGGCTAACCCGTTTGCATTTTGCGAAGTATTATTGCAAAGTATTATGTAATGTACAGATTGCAGATAGAGAGAAATATCAAAGTTGTGTTTTTATAAATGAAATACCCTATATATTATTGCATTTTTGGATTCTCTGAGCAAAATAAGTGTTTGTTTTACTAAGATTTATAATGTCTAGATCTAAAGGTTTTTTAAATAATTCGAATTTTATCAAAATCTAATATTATTTTCATGTGTCAAATACTTTAGAATTATTTAAGTTATGTAAACGTAATTCGTAGTTTAGGGTAACAAGAAATCATATTTTATATCCCAATGATAATAAACTTACCATTTTATACAGGGTGTCCACAAATTTAAACTAATCAAATAAGAACTTTAAGTGGCTATAACTTGATTAATTTAAATACAACCCCATATTTTTTAGCATACCAGGAAATGAAGTTTTTAATTACCTATCGAATGGTATTAGGATGTTAATAGCTAAGTTCTTGTCTTTCTACAAAATACGTCAAATAGCCGTTCTGTGCACCATTTGGTCATGTTTAATTTAAAAGCCACTTAAAGTTCTTATTTGGTTAGTTTAAATTTGTGGACACCCTGTACAACATGGTAAGCTTATTATCATTGGAATATAAAATATTATATCTTGTTACACTTCATTATAAATTACGCGTACATAACTTAAATACTTCTAAAGTATTTGACACGTGAAAATTAGATTTGATTTTGATTAAATTCGTATTATTTAAAAAACCTTAAGATTTAGGTATTAACCTTATTAAAACAGACACTTATTTTGTTCAGCGAATCCAAAAATGCAATAATATTTAAGGTATTTCATTTAGAAGAACACAACTTTGATACTTTTAAGTCTTTTAGGACACTCTGTACATTACAAAGGTATTTTTAAAATGTGCACCCGATAGGCGTCTGTGGATTCATCAAATAATACTTTGCAAAAAACAAACGGGCTAGCCGCAAACGTCCGTGCCGTATAGCGTGAATAACTCTGTATATAAAGTAATTCTACTTTATATCCCCGAAAGGTTTTTARTCAATGTGATCCGAATCGCCCATAAGGGAGTTGCGGATTAAATTTCAAAGTCTGCAACTTCCTCCACACCCGCAACTCGATTGCGGCTCAATCAGTTGTCTGTTTTGCATCTGAATTTTTCAACTCGTTTTTGACTTGATTTAACTCACCAATGGTACAAACAACGCGCCACCAGAATTTTCATACATACACTAGCTGGTTTCCCGGGTGACCAACGCTTGTTGTCAGTGAATGTTGCTGTCGGTGTCAGTCAGTTGCTCCAAATTAGCAATTTGGTGTCCAAAAAATAYTGCATAAGATTGAAAATTTATTGAAAATTTTCCATTTAAAAAAACGAAACTTTGATACTTTTAGAGCTTTTGGGACACTACAAAAATGTTTTTAAAACGTGCGCTCGGTAGGCGTCGGACAATTCATAAAATAATACTTTCTAAAAATCAAACGGTTTAGCCGCAAACTTCCGTGCAGTATATCGTGAATAACCCTGTATGTGCAAAAGATGCATCATTTCGGAGAGCGACTGTTGGACGAAAAACCGCACCCAAAAGACCTGCGGGAGGAGTTAAAGGCACTTCAACCGGAGCCAAGAAGAGTTGGGACCGCATTGACATAACCGTGAGCGACTCTATAGCCTCTAAAGTGTGGGCAGCCTTTGCAAGCTTAGTAGCAGTTAGGTTTGATGGACGGAATGCACCTTGGAGCCAGCATGTTACCTCTACCTTTACCTTTGTGTGCCATATCGTCGACGGAGGTGATCGCTGAAGGCCATGGCGCCACGGCCGTTCCGATTTGCTGTGCGGGGAGAATGATGGTGGATTCTAGGTAGTCGCCCCGTTGTCGCCAAACACACCTGAAACAACAAAATATCGTTAGTGTCTCACTGTTTCGTCCTTCAGGAGTGCTTAGAACAAGAAGGACTACCCGCTAATCGCACTTGCCTTGGACACTGGACAGCGGAAAGGCCAGAATGGACCAAGCGGATGGAATGAAGTAGAGGTGGAGAGGTGGAGCGGTGGAGAGCAGAAAGCGAACAAGGTGACTGTTCAATTATCCGTCCAGAAAAAGAAAAAAAATGTGTCTGCAAACCCTTCCTTCCAAGGCAGAGGCACGCAAAACCCGCCGTTTAAGCCCCGTTTTTATTAATTACCTGGTATAGTTTGTTTTCGTATGTATGTATGTATGTATGTTATTGTTTTGGTATGATGGATAGTAGTTAAGGCCTTAAAATACAGCCGCATAAACAGAAAAACCGTTTCAAATGGAAGCGCCAGCGAAAAATCGTAAATTCCGGGCGCTCATCCTGCGGAATTTATAGCATTTTGCCGGCATCCCCGGCCTGCGACTGGAGGAGATAAATTGTTACTAATTAGTAGATAGGGTAGCTCTAAAGTCCTGCCGCCCTTCGTCGCTCATAAATACACTGCAGGGAATAAAATTAATTTCATTAACCCAGTCAATGGATGAGCGACTGGACAATAACCAAAATAAGCAGAAAAACACGGGATTTTGGGTTGTARCTGTCGGATAATTAAGTAATTAAGTGGTTGGACAATTGGGAAAGTTGCAAAAAACACTAATAAACTTGAAAGACTGGAAAAAAGACGGAATGTTGTAAATAGGCGCTTTTGSGCMTATTKAMTTTGAWTKWTTATWGRGACAAATTTTCAGAAAAAGGGCAAAAAATTATCTTTTACCCGATTGCGACTCGACCCGATSGACTAAGAAGTTCGGTAAGTAATGTTCTGAATCAGCATTTGTGCCCAGATATTGACCCCGATAAAGTACCCCAATAAATATGAATAAATCAATTTTATTAGCGAAAAAGAAAGTCAGAATAAGAGAAGCTGTAAAAAGCAGAGCAAATTAATCAATTTCGCTTCGGGATTATGAAGCAAGCAAAACAAGTTTTCTGCTTTTAAAACCGCCTTTTAAAGGGTTTTAAACCCTTTTTCTTCCATATTCTTCATAAGTATT